ATATGTGGAACAACATTAGCAAACATATAGAATTGGAGTGGAGCTACTGAAAATGACATAAAAGATAACTCTTTGGAGTTTCCCTCATAGCTCTTAATATTTCTACCCCCTGCTAACTGATTGACACTCTCATGGTGCCTCCGTTTGTTGCTTTGCAGAAAGATTTTCTGTCAGAAGGAATCTAGATTGTATGATACTATTATTAGATATTGCAGTCATGGTGTTTTTCCTTCAAATTTTAAAAGGCTATTGTACCGTCGGTAGGGTTCAATATGGAACGTCTTATGGTAAACAAATAGCATTGCCGCTGCGAAGCTACTGAAAATAGCTTAAAAGAGAACTTTTCACAGTTTCCCACGAGCTTTACTATACATGTCAGTGCACTCTGCAAACTAACCTTATCATTTTGTATCAATTCACTACATTTGTGAGTTGAAGTAGGTTTTATTTAATCAGAATTTTCATACGGCATACTCAAAGTCGTTGTTGTGGTCAGAAATCATCGCCCATAATATAAAAAAGAACATTCGCTTTTTTTTCTCGAGAAATGGAAATTCGTCAATTAAGGAAATGCAACGAGCCTTGATCTCTGAACAAATACCAACACAATAAAAATGTCTGGTAGTTCTGCATGAAAAACGTGAAATGTTTTCTTATATCAGAAAAGTCTGTACAAAGTACAGTAACCACATTGCCAAAGACAAAGACTAAAGGTAAGGAGTAACGTTTTTGTGCTTATCATTGAAGTTTTCTATATTGATAGTAGTTTTGTTTTATGGACCTGAAGCATGCTATTAAAGGCTAGTTGCCCAGAAATTTGCTGGTAGCTGTTTATGATTTTCGAAAGCTAGACGAAAAGTATAGCAATGAAAAGGAATATAGCTTTCATCACGAATGCAAATTTCAGGTTTGTTCTGATTAGCCAAGAAAAAAAAATGGAAACCAGGGGGTGCAATGAAAGCCAACCTTGTTCTCAGTGTTTTCTCAAGAGAGAGGACTCTGGGAACGAGGTTGCAATAAAGAGTCGTTTGTGTCTGTCCCATGATCTGTTTTTGATCTGAGATATGATCAAAAGGTACGCGTTGAATGACGTCGGATCCTAAAAATATCCATTCTTTGAACCTTGTGTTTAGGGGAACATATTGGTGCAAAATTTGAGATACAGTGTTTGATACACAGATAAAAATAGCCGGAATTTTCAATAAACAACTATTAGGTTTTCCTAGTGAAACAACAATAGTTAACAAAAAGAACACAAGAACATCTAAAAAAATATTTTGCTTAAAAATGTTTGGACAGTTTGAAAATATCACCCATTTGCTAGTTCATGGTTGAATGATTTTGAATATTTTGTTCTTGTAAAACTTGGAATTTGACAAACATTGCGCTGTGCTTCAACCGATCAGCTGAATCAACTAGGGACTCGCCCTACGGGCTCGTACTATTTTTTAAGCCTTTCAAAAATTAATTCGTGCGTGCTTTATTCCAAATTGAACAAGAAAAATCATGCGATTACCTTTACAAAATTTTAGACTCACATTTTGTACTCAGGAACACAACCTTTAACTTATTCTCCATTCTCGTAAGCGAAAATATCCTATCATGATTTTAGGATCTTAAGGGGCCTCTTTGTATTATCTGCATGAACATGCAAATCTCTTTGACATAATTAGACTGGTCAACATATTTGCACGCTGGGCACGTTCAAGACACATACATATTCCGTTTGTGCAAGATAATAACTTGATGATGGCTGAAGTGGGCAGCACTATTTGATTCAAGTCGTTACAAGCTGTAGCCTTATTTATGCGGTTAGACATTCGAGTTTATCATCTTTGCAGAAGTTACGTGGTGATACTTATGTTTATTTAGTTTCTACTCATGTTTTAGAGAGCACTGTTTCCGCCACGGCGACCATAGATAAGAGCTGCGATGAACGATTAGAAGTTGAGAGAAGGTTTCCTAGTTTGGTAAGTTATTTTGTTTTTCATGTCGCAGATTGGTATCGTAACGCCACATTAAACAACATAGTGCTATAGTTGTTAAAAACCTGGTGACGCTCGCTAAAATTAATTAGCAAACATTTTGGCGTGTCACTTGTTCGAGCACGTGATTTGACGTTTCTATGGCAGCCATGTTTTTATAGGGTGTTTCACCAAAATTTAATGCTGTTGAAAATATATCTGTTCAAGTGAAATTTTGGATTTTTATAGAGATTTTAAGGGAAAATCTTTACAATTATTGTACTTTTATCCTTTTTCTGATTTCTTTTTTTAAAAAATAAAACAATTTTGGAGCTGTCATAACATTTCTGATAATTTTGTGAAATGCAAGATGGCGGGATTTTGGATATGTGATGGAATGTAGGCATAATTGATATAAGAACTTTACATTCCATGTAAGTTTGATTACTGTTATGTTCCCCTAACAGACTGACTAAAATGAAAAACAGCACAGGCTTTATATATAGGGTTAAGTGTTGAAGGTTTAGCGGTCTAAGTTAAGTATTTGTGCTTCTATATTTTGCTTCTTGTTTAGTTCTGCATTTCCTGTTTAGTGTTATTAGTCAGGCTGTAAATATTTTTATATATTTTTATATCAAGGTATGTGTTTTAGCACAAAAAAACGGGGCCACCTCTCAAGGAAGTCCTCAAGCGCGAGCTTTGCTTGAGATCTAGTCTAACTGCCGATAGGCGAGATCTAAATAAACCAAACAACTGTGTTGGATGAATTTGGCCACCGTAGTGGCAGGTTTAATGTAAACAAAATCAGGAGAATCACAACACAGCAAATAAATCTAAGAAAACAAGCTCTTGGATAAACAATGGGGCGAAAAAAATCGCCCAAAAGCTAACCAATAATATATTAAAGCGAAAAAGTAACAATCCGTTGGAAGGCAACGGGGAAGGAGGTGGGAAGGGTTTTACTTGTGATCGATCTGCTTGATTTGATGGCAAGGGAAGAAGGGAAAATCACTTGAGTAATTAACTTTATACAGTTGCTCAACCTGGCAACAGGTACCTGGTACAACCTTCACCAACGGAAAATCACGTGAGAACAATGCCTTTACATAAATTACATTAGAACTGGTCATTATGTCTGCTTATATCTGGCAAAAAACAATGTGACTTTTATCTCACTTAAGGTGGCTCAAAACCGTTTCCAGCACTTAGATTTTGATAGGTCGTTATAACCACTCTTTATCACTTGATGCTACAACCATGGTATCAAACCTGCCCAATCATTGGTGAATACGTTGTTATCATGTTCTTGACACAATAGGTTACCATAGCAACAGTATCTGCTAAAAACACCCTTCATTACCGCTTTAGGGGCTTATAATTCAAGTACCGCACGGTGATTTGTTTTTATGTCATCAAATCTTAGGCCCGGTTTGAACGTCGCATTTTACATGCGCCGAATCAAATACTAATTTTAGTCTACTCGAATGAAAAAGTTCGGCTGGTTTGATTTAAACGTCGCATTTTTTGCCAAATAAAATTGCTGAGCGCGAGCGATAAGGACATGTTAATTCCCATTCGAGCAAACATAATTTAGTTAACATAACTTATGAATTAGATTCGGCACATGTAAAATACGGCGTTTAAATCAACTGTCGAACTTCAGTCGTATATTCGACTGAACTCGCATTTAATTGAAATATGTCGCATTTTACATGCACTTAATTCGGCAATTCGATTCCGCCAATGTAAAATGCGACGTTTAAACCGGGCCTTAAAAAACATAATAAGACGGGACTTTTGGCGAAGTTTTAAAAAAATTCTCTACATAGGGTTCAAAACCACCTAAAATTTCCAAAACTTTGAGGTGGCTCTGAACCCTATGTACATAATTTTTCAAAACTTTGCCCAAAGTTGCGTCTTATTAAGCTTTTTAAAATTTGATGATATAAAAAAAAATTTCACCGTGCCGTTTTTGAATTATAAGCCCTAAAGCTGTATATAAGGGTGTTTTAAGCAGATGATACTGTTGCTATGGTAACTTATTGTGTCACGAAAATGATAACAACGTATTTACTAATGATTGGGCAGTTTTTTGATACCATGATTGTAGCATCAAGCAATAAAGAGTGGTTGTAACCACCTGTCAAAACCTAAGTGCTGGAAACTGTTTCGAGCCACCTTAGCCTTCTATTGTATGGGAAACAAGAAAGATGTAGATGGTTCTGAGTAAGACGATATTTTTATTCTTAGGCTTGTGAGCGTGTTAGACACCTGGGTTGTTTATCTGCCCAAGCTTTCGACAGTAGGTATGATATATCATTTGCTATTCTTCATGTCTTGGGGGACCATGGGGCATATATTCTGAAAGTACCGTGGAACATCGTAATGCTGTGACAATGAGGACGATAAACGAGGGTATTATTAGGCCCTTGTTAAGCAAGGCCGGTTAATTGCGCATGTTGGTATACTTAGAGCTGCACTCACAGAGCGAGGTTAGCTATATACTCCTTCATCTTCAGCTGCAATAAGTAAATACAGTTTAGGTGAGGGAGCGAGCTAAGACCGGATGATAACAAAACGAAGACATCAGTGACGTAGGAAACTTTCCATCCTTTCACTCTAGCAGAGCATGCATTTCAATATATTGTTTCGTAATTTTTACTGATCTTTACTCCCTGTGTCTCTGTGTTTATCAAAGTTTTAAAGATCTTGATCCACAAGAATTTAATAATTTTCCTGTCTTTTGCATCAATCACAGTACATTGCAGATATCATCGAAAAACAGTAATTTAACAGGTTTTCACGATAGCAAGTATGTATTTAAAAGACGTTGATTTAGCCGCCCACTTGCTGCTCTAAAATCGTTTAATTATTCTAATAACTTTTCGTCATGATTTAGCCATAGTAAAAGTTCGGAAGTTATCATTCCTGTTTAGGTTTTTCACAGTGTAATGAGACCTTTTTCTTTTTAGGTGTGGCAGTGTTATCGTAGATTTCGAGATGAAATTCAATCAAAGCGCAGTCGTTAGTGAAGTGTTGAATGTTCTGAAAACGGCCGCAAAGGAAGATAATTTTGATGGATATAAAGTCGATCCCAACTCCATTGAACAAGTTTCTGCTGCACCAACGGGCACATCAGGCACTAAAGGTACAACAATTTGTTTTCTATTTATGTGGTAGTTTAAGACAACTGTTTTCATTAACGTATCGATAACCAAGGAATTGGAGACTGTGATTGGTTCTTCTTTCCCGATATCCTTGGGAATCACCTCCGAGAAAAACAAAACAACTTTCCATTTCCCTAACTTTTTAAGAGCAGGGATTTTTCAAGTATTTTGGTTGCCCTAGCGATAGCCACCTTGCTGAGCTTTCTTAAACCTCGTAGGGGAAACTGCTACCGTACCCTTAAACTAACAGCCGTACGATCACGGGCAGTTACAATGGCTGTAATTGGCTGGAATTCGCGATTTTTCGCGGCCTCAAATTCATACAATACGTACACACGCTCAGAATCTACTTTCACCTTGAAACCTTCACGTATCCATTCAAGTCATTTTTTTTGTCGACCGCCTGATGTTATGTGCTTGGGAAGTATTATAAATCAGTGTAGTATTCCTTTTCATGAAGACGCATGTAGGTATTGGGAACGGTAAATTTTCTTGCTTTTCTTGCTATAACAGGATAAATGGACTGACTTATTAATTTTGTATGCATTTTGCCAATAGCATCGATCAACATAACGAAGTCAAGTTAACGGGGCGGTTTTCATTTTTTTTTCCATAGCTCCTGAAGAATGCAAGTGCTCGTGCAATGACGTCATCTGGGCGGCTGTAGTTGGAGTTCTTGTGTTTATAATCATCGGTTTGATTCTTTACATTGTTTGGCTACACAAGAAAG